CTTGCCTCAACTTCTCAGAAGCAGAGGAAAGAAAAGAGAGAAGATATGGTCTTGAATGAGTTTATATTTATCTACTTGATTCATGAGCTTTCTTCCCCAGAAAGGCTCAGGGTTGCTTATAACAAAACAAGATAAATTACAAAAAGAGATAAAATAGTAAGTAATAGAACAACTCTCCAAACAGTCCTCCAATACCTAACCGTGCCTGCTAGAAGTCTTCCCAAATAAAAACCTGTTCTAGTGTTTCCTATAGAATGTGTATAGTGTAGTGTCTTAACACTGCATGGCTGTGCTTGCATCCTGCCCACACATAATGATGGTGTGTCACAGCAAGGCGGCTTGTGATGACATGCTCATGTGATGTTAGCGCAGCGCTTGGACTGTTTGTATACAATTTCTTAACTAGGCCATGTGACTCACCAGCTCCAAAAGCAATTGCTAATGCTAGTATCTAAACAAATGCTTAGAGATCCACTTGCTGAGCAAGATGTGGAATTTTAAAGAATGATCTGTTTTTAATCTGAACTGCTGGTTCAGTTCTGGTCAACTAGGGTCATGTTTCGTAGTTGATTATGTTAGTACCCACCAGATGTGATTATGTTAGTAGCCACTAGATGGCACAAAGATCCCCTTTTTGCTTCTCTCACTGGTTGCTGGAAGCAACAAGGCAAAAGGACATCAGTGACCAAATGTTCACTTCCAGTACTTTCATGCAGATTTAATCTTGAATTTACAGTACTGTTCACATGACTAGTTTAACACCTTTCTAATTTATTCTGTAAAACTAGTCATTACTGACGTTGGTAGTGCTTTTCATCTGTAGGTCTTTGCATTCTTCTAACACCTGTATGAAAACTGAGTGAACTGAAGCATGTATGTGACAGCAGCTCAGTGGTAGAACATCTCTCTAATTTAACTGCCAAATGACACTGCAGGTTTAGGAAAACAAATATAAAATGATTAATAAGGGATATAAGTACTTACCACTTCCTAGGGGAAGTGGGGGAGGGGGGCATTGCAAATAGTGTGTTTTCCCCCAGCACTATTCTTCCCTTGGTATAACTGAGCCTACCTTGCCCAGAATAATTATGAATTCTGCTCCAAAATCATGTGTGTCCACACTTGCAGCAGAACAGCATTGCATCTCCAGCTAATAGAAGGCTTTTGCTGCTGCTTGGCAGCCAACAGGCAGCATTTATAGACTTGTTTAGTAGATGCACTGACCCAATGTGCACTTTGACTCTGATACAATTGGTGAAGTGGCTTTTCTGTAGCAGCTGCTGTCAGAAGTTTGGGTGGCCCAAACAGCCTAGCGTAGCCATATGCTTATCCACCTGCACCATGCCCTTGGTGTGTCCTGACAGGGGTGTTTCAAGTATGTGCTCCTCACCTGCTGCTCTTCATCTTCTCAGGTTTGGTAGTGGGTGGTTGGGGTGTTCAGGAGAGTCCCTGCCGGGACACTGTGAGAACTTAGTGTAGACATACCCACCGATTCCTTCAAACAAATCCTACTCTTCAAATTCTTTGTCCGATATCTCCACTGATCAAGCAAAAATAAATGTATATGATATATCCTGGTGGGAACTTCTTCTCTCAGCTTGTCTCCAGCATTTAGGTGAAAATGCAAATACTAAAGGTCCCATCCTGTAGACCAGGTTTTTTATGTGGGTATATATTATAGTAGTACTCCTTTGTGTGCTTACCCATCATATTTCAGCTAAAAGGCACTTTGCTCTTTTCAGTTTTAAAGTACTGCACTTGATAGATAATTAATTTTCAATACATGTATGTGACTTGGATGTGTTTTTAATTACCTCTATTTTGCAGATGGAGAAACTGGGTCAGAGTTTAAAGGATTTGTTCAAGCCTATGGAGCAAGTCGGTGTCCTCACAAACACCTCTTAAATTGGTTGATTAATCTTTGCACTTTTGCTCTATAGAAGAAAGAGTTGATGTCTTCTGTTTCTGCAGTGATTTGTAGATGAACCACTGACTAATGCTAACCACCCAGAATGGTTAACTCCCTTTTGCGAATGATAGCAACTACTTGCTATATTATCTGGTTGAAGAAAAGAGCATGCACTTTTACTATCAGTCAGGGTTATCTTGCTTTGATGAAATCCTTTATTTTGTTGCAAGTTGGATATAAATGTTCTGCTTAGAAAGATGAAAACCATGAAGTACTAGGGACTTACTATATTGTGGTCAGTGTGAATTACACATGCATCATTGTGTGATTTCTCAAGGATTTTTCACATTCTGAAGGAAGAACTGTCTTCACGGGACCAAATCCTGAACCAAGTATAAACCTGAGAAAACTGTGTGGGATGGAAGAAGAACAAATCTTCCCATGTCTTCAGCTCTCCTCAGCCTTACCTTAGCCTTACTCCTGTGAATGCAGCTGCTGTTTCTGCCTATACAGAATGGACTGGCTCATGCATTATTGTCATTGATATGATGGTCCCAACCAACTTGTAATCTCTAGAAAAAAAGGACACTTGCAGAGCTATGATTGATTGGGTACAGGCCACCTTCCACTTCTGTACAGTGGAGGTGTCAGCACTGTCTTCAGCTGTATGGGGAGATTTAGGGGAGAGATGCTTTACAACAGTACAATGCAAATGATCTGTATTGCTGAGGAGAAGGAACCATCACATTCAGAACCCAAGTGGCATACCAAAATAAAAACCTATCTTGAAGCTTTTGGTTTGTTTTATTGATGTGTCTACATCACAGTCAGGAGGTGTGAGTGCAACATGAGTCGACCTCACTGAGGTAGCTTATATGAGAGAGCCTGAGCTAGCTGGTTGTGAAGCCATGGGGGCATGAGCCTCAGAATGAGCAATGCAAGATGGCCTACAACCCCTGTATTTAACCAGGTGGCAACCCTCTGCTGAAGTCTGTGCTACAGCATCGCTGTTCTTGTTGGTATTCAAGCTAGAGCTATAGCTTTCTTGGGTTTGTTCACACATGCTGCAGTCACATGGCCTTATTCAGTTGTGTATCTAAGGGCATGTCTACACCACCACTGGACCACAGCAGGGAGTCCCACAGTGAAGCATGGCATGACTGCTCCTTACAAATGGAAGAAATGTAGCTGCCTAAGAGAGGTACCAGAGGTGTATCAGTAAACATGCAAGCAGTGAGCACTGCTGTAAGGTGGCTATATTACATCCATGTCTAGGTATAGTGTGTAGGGAGCAAGTATGCCTACTTCATGGATGTGCTCTCTTTACAATCTAGAGAGGGTACAGACATAGCCTAATGGGCTGATGGAGCATAGCCCATTTAGTATACATGGATTCTTATAAGATGCTTTTTGCTATTGTGAATATGCACATGCGTTGGAGGGCAAGATCAAAGACATGTGCGGAGTATTGGTGGTAAGCTTGATGCCTGTTAGTGCTTGGTGGAGTTTATCCACAGTCTCAGACCAGCCCTAGCATGTAAATTTGTTTCCCACCCAGTTGTGCCTAATCCTTACTCTGGAAAGTTTAATTAATGCTCAGGGGCAACCAGCACGGGTTCATCAGCGGCAGGTCATGTCAGACCAACCTGGTGGCCTTCTACGATCAGGTCACTAAATCACTGGATGCAGGGGTAGCAGTGGATATAGTCTTCCTGGACTTTCGGAAGGCTTTTGACACTGTCTCTCACCCCGTTCTCGTTAGGAAACTGGGGGACTGTGGCATAGACACCCACACAGTCCAATGGGTTGCCAACTGGCTAGAGAGCCGCACCCAGAGGGTGGTAGTGGATGGGTCCTTCTCGGCCTGGAAGGACGCTGGCAGTGGGGTCCCGCAGGGCTCGGTCCTCGGGCCCGCCCTGTTCAACATCTTCATCAGTGATTTGGATGAGGGGGTGCAAAGCACCCTGTTCAAATTTGCTGATGACACCAAGATGTGGGGGGATGTGGGCACAATAGAAGGGAGCAACAGGCTACACTCGGACCTTGACAGGTTACAAGGATGGGCGGAGGAGAACAGGATGGGGTTCAACACAGACAAGTGCAAGGTGATGCACCTGGGGAGGAGCAACCGGCACCATACCTACAGGCTGGGGAACTCCCCTCTTGTCAGCACGGAGGTGGAAAAGGATCTTGGAGTCATTATTGACTCCAAGATGAACATGGCTAGGCAGTGTGGGGAGGCAGCTAGGAAGGCCAACTGTACCTTGTCGTGCATCCATAGATGCATTTCAAGCAGGACCAAGGAGGTGATCCTCCCCCTCTATGCGGCACTGGTCAGTTCACAGCTGGAGTCCTGCATCCAGTTCTGGGAGCCGCACTTTAAGAGGGATGTGGACAGCATCGAGAGGGTCCAGAGGAGGGCCACTCGCATGATCAAGGGACAGCAGGGCAGGTCCTATGAGGAAAGGTTACGGGACCTGAACCTGTTCAGCCTCCAGAAGAGAAGGCTGAGGGGGGATCTTGTGGCCTGCTATAAACTAGTCGGGGGGGATCAACAGGCACTGGGGGAGTCCCTGTCCCCCCGGGCGCCGCCAGGAGTGACCAGGAATAACGGTCACAAGCTGGCGGAGGGAAGGTTCAAGTTGGACATCAGGAGGCACTACTTCACGGTCAGGGCGGCTAGGGTCTGGAACCAGCTTCCAAGTGAGGTGGTGCAGGCTCCCACCCTGGGGGTTTTTAAGAGGAGGTTAGATGACCATCTTGCTGGGGTCGTTTGACCCCCCAGTACTCTTTCCTGCCATGGCAGTATAATTCTGCCAGCAGTCTAAAATGGTCATTTGTGATTTGCATCTTGAAGTTTTAAGCACTCTTTAGGCTAAATACAGGCATTCAAGAAGCCTGAGGTGGAAGCACTTCAAGTTTTGTTGAGCTTTACTTTGAGCTGTGGCGATGCATGGGGGTGCCTGTGCATACCCTGAAAGTGCTGGTGCACCCTCTGACGGGCCACACTCCACGCTTAGGCAACAGGCAGGGGGAACAGGTGGGAGTGCTGGTGCCCCCCTGTGGGTGCCAGCTGCGGGGTGGGAGGGCCAGATGAAGCACTGGCCACTTCTGGGAGTGCTGCAGCCACTTCCAGGAGCATTGCGGCCGCTTTCTGGTAGGCGCAATCAGTTCTAGGTGAACCAGTCGGTGAGATTGGCTGCAGAGGAACCCGCCCCAGTTGGTGACTGGGTGCTGCGGGTCTTGTGCCTCCCCTGACTAAGGTGGCATCAGTCGCCCATGACTTCGAGGGTACCTGTAGATATGTGCAGACACTGCTCCGACGAGCTGTAATTACAGCATCTCAGAGCAGGCTTAATTAGTCGAGTCTGCTGTAGCACGATAATTAACATGCTTCAGCAGCCTCTGTGTCTTGTGTGTTAGCATCTCCGTGCTTCGAAATGGCAGTGGGGGTGCTTTTAATAAAAGCTCATTGAACGAGCTTTAGCTAGTGCCCCTGCCACCATTTTGAAGCATGAGGATGCTGATACACAAGATGCTGTGGGCACTTTAATTAGAGCAGCTCTCGGAGCCACTATAATTAAAGTGCCCCTCCTCCTTCCCTCCAGAACGTGTCGAGATGCCTTTAGTACTCAAGACTAGGTCAGGAGCAAGTAGAATACACACTAACCCTTGGGGCAGTGTTGGGGGAAGGGGGGAGTCAGACTGATTGCGCAGGCTCTCGGTATGTCCCATGGGCTCCCTGGGCTGCCGAAGACTCCTGAGTGGAGCTGAATGGCCGAGCCATCCCCGATTGGCTGTCGGGAACATCACAGCTGCCCACCTGGATCTGATGTGGCAGTGGCTTTTCATGGCATGCAGCATCATGGCCACAAGCCATCAGCCTGTGTGGGTGGGATGCCTGGGTTTTGTGTGTGTATGCGTCCCAGACACTTGTTTATGTGGGTGAGTGTTCAGGAGACACCTGCTCTCTGTGTGAGTGTGTATGCACAGTGGACCTGTTTCTGGCTCCGTGGACCATAGGTTAGTGGTTCCTACATGCCAGATCTCCTGTTTTGGGCCCGCCTGATCCCCAGCATCTCCCAATCAATGTGTGGTGTGAAGTATTCCTCCACGGCTGCTATCCAGGCCCCACCTCACCCTCCACGTGGGACTTTCAGGCATGTCGTCCCAGGGAGGAGTCCCTAGAGCAGGGCTTTCCATGCTGGGGATTGAGGGGGTGGGGGGGAAAGGGGTGGTGGTGGCAGCTAGATAAATTATCTGGGCTGCAAAAATATAGTTGGATCAACTTCCTCCTACATTTAAAAAAAAATCTTCTGTTTTCCTTGGATGTCCAATATATATGAAAGAGAATGTCCTTGGGAGATGATCTGCGTGCTGTACCTCTCATGCCATATTAATTGGGGGTGGGATAGGAAGGAGGAGCTGGGAATAGAGCAGTGGTCCTGAAGACTACGGGACTGAGCATACAACTCGGATTTATATTTAGAACAGATCATTATGGAAATGGGATATAATGAATGAAACGGCTTTACTGCACGGTCTGTAAAGTATTACAGCAGCAAGAGGGCTTCTTTTTATTAGCTTAGAATAGGTAAATAAGTCAAAAGGTAGAATTTGGCACAAGAAACTGAAGTTCTATAGGATCCTAAGTTAGTTTTTGTAAGTGAGAGCACATGATGCCGCATATTAGATCGCTTAAAATGATTATTTTTTTTAAATAGCTTTTTCTTTTTTATATTAAGTTGAGTCATAATATATCTTTCTTTACCATCGCAGTCTGAAGCCATCTGTTGCCTGACTCTCTTTTGTCAGGTCAATTGTGAACCTTTTAGGCAATTATGCATATACAGTTCCAGTGTAATGCAAAGCAGTATTGTTGCTGCCTTTGCTGTTGAGCCATGAAATGGTAAATTGTCCACTTAGTCAGTAGTGTTCTGTTCACTAATTCAGATGTGCTTCTTCTAGTAGAGTTAATGAGGGGTTAGGGGAGAAGCCTCAATCACAGGAAAAAATGTTCAGTCATATACATCTCTTGTACTACATTTCACTGTGATGAAACATAGTACATACTCTTGTTATGCCATGTTGGTTACTCTTCCATTTGGGGGCATTTTGAGTAGAGATGATCATCTGTTGGAATAAGTCTAACACCTATGAGCAAAATTTGTGTTTTAAAGTCAATAGGACATGACAGTTTCATTCAGTGTAGCTGGCCATCATAGAAGATACTAGTTCCCTTTCTTTAAAATGGTCACAACCCGCAGTTCATGTAACCTAACTTCCATGAGGAGAGGTATTGGAGCAGGGAGGGATATGCATACCATTTGGATAAAAAGAAGATAAGAGCTGGTCCAAACGGTCACCTGCAATGTGGGTCAAGAAGACTCCTCTATGCATTGGCATTAGCCTTCCTCTCCTCTGCTCCTTTAAGTTTCAAAGGAGAGTGTTGTTATGTCCAAAATCATCTTGGAGTAGCAGGCCAAGATCCTCTTGTATCTGATTCAAACCAAGGTAAGGTAAAAGCACCTCCGAGAAGGCTCTTTTCCTCTATTAACATTCTCCTATTTGGATTTGTCAAGCAAATTCCATTGCTTAGTTTTGTGGTGTAATGATGCAATTTTGGATGCTGTTACCTTGTTTGAGGAATATGATCAAACTCAGCTAGTATGATAGCTTTTCATGTGATTAGACAGTGAAACAATAGTGAGTGTCATTCTTACTGATACTGTACGCTTCCCTGTGGGGAGACTCGGCACATTAAGCTGTGCTCTTTAACGTACCGTATTA